CTCTCTCATACACACAAACAAACACACACACACACACACACACACACACACATCTTTTTTCCCTACATATCCTTCATCCAAAGCCCCATTGAAATTATAATACGTTCTTACTTAAAGACTGATCGAACGTACAGTAATGTACAGACTAATTGGTCACCTGATTGATCGATCATGGTAATTGTGAGACAGCGTAGTGGAATCAGGTTCTCATCAAAATTATGCAATTGAAGAAAGCAGCAGTTTTCTCCCTGCTTAGCAATTTTTATCAAATTTTTGTTTTTTGACTCAACACCTTTTATGTCTATTTACAAACACATTCCTTTTGGGATTTCACCGAAAACGTTGATTTAAGGCACAAAAATATAAATTTACAGTTTCTATGGACTCTCCAGCTTTGGAATTTACCAAGCTTTGGTGGCCATTTTCTCGCTAATTTTACCTCTTAAATCAGGTTACCCCCACCTCCTTCAATCCAAAATATCTCCACTTCTATTGAAGATGGATGGGTATTTTTTTCATTGAAAGCAAGACAAATGACAAGCTTTAAGATGATACCAATAACTCTACATGCCCAAAAATTGACGAGAGCCTGATTCCATCACGCTGCCTCACGTATGTTTTTTGCTCCCTGACCGACCAGGCGTGCTTGATGAAGTGTGCAAACGTAATGGCTACCAGGAGGCGCTGCTGAACAACTTGTCCCCGCACTACGACAAGTTCCAGGAATGGAAGTGTATGGGGCCGGGAGCATTTAGGTGAGGAGCTCATGAAGCCGGTCGTCTGTCTGTGCAGTAGGGCTGGGCAATGAGTCGCTTTTGTTTGTTTTAGTAGAGGTTTTACGGCGCTCGCAACTGCATAATAAGGTCATATGAGCGCCAGAAGATTAGAAGTGTTACAAGAGAGTTGCAAACATAAAAAAGAAGGAGGGGAGATAAGGACGATAGATGTTTGATAGGAAAAAAGAAGCAAACCACACCAGAGCACCCGCCAACCACCCACTGAGTCGTTTTAGCAAAATCCGGATAATGTGTTAGTGGACCTCTTCGGCAAATGATAATTATGTTATGAACGGCTTCTGCAAATAATAAGTTTTACGTCGGGCTGGAATCAGACGCTTGTCAAAATAATGAAATCGGAGAAGTCGGCAATTTTCAGCCAGTTTGGCAATTTTTATCGAATTAAAAAAAAATTTTTGGGCTCAGCACTTTATACGTCTAATTAAAACATATGTGAGGCAGCGTGGTGGAATCAGGCTCTCGTCAAAATAATCAAAGTGAAGTAACTGGCATTTTTCCGCAGATTTCTGAAATTTTATCGAATTTTTGTTATTTGTCTCAGCACCTTTCATGCCCGTTAAAGAACTAATTTCTGTGTGGAATTGACCGAAATGCGTTGACTGAAGGCACAAAAAATGTAAATTTTCAGTTACCATGCACTCTTGAGCTCAGGAAATAACTAACTTTTGGCGGCCAATTTCTCACTAATTTTACCTCTGAAACCAGGTGATCCCACCTCCTTCATTTGCAAATATCTCGACTTGTGTCCAAGATAAATGGATATTTTTTCATCTAATAAACACAAGTGAACAACCTTTCAGATGATACCAATAACTCTACATGCACAAAAATTGACGAGAGCCTGATTCCACCGCGTTGTGACACATATTTCTGTATGGATTTTACAGGAAAAACATTGATTAAAGGCACAAACATTTCACATTTTTTCTCAATCTATGAAAGTTACGGAACTTTGGCAGCCATTTTTGGGCATGAGGGGTTATTGGTATCATCTGAAAGCTTGTTCATTGGCCTTGCTTAAAATAAAATACTCATCTATCTAGAATAGAAGTCGAGATATTTGTGATTGAAGGAGGTGAGGGTCAGAGGTAAAATTAGCGAGACAACGGCCACCAAAGTTTGATAACTTTAGTATCTTAAGAGTTTTAAGAGGACTGAAAGTTTACGTATTTCTTGCCTTTAATCAACTTTTTTTTTTTCCGAAAAATTCGAACAGAAATGACGTGTTTTCAAATAGACATTATAGATCTAGAAGGAGTTGAGAACAAAAAAGCAACCGATAAAAATTACCAAACTGGCGGATAAAAGTCTGTTTCGTGGATTTCATTATTATGACAAGCGCCTGCTTTCATCACAATACCTCATATGAATCCATCAATGTGAGATTATGTCTGATCCATACGTTTCCCGCGTCAGACACAAGATTCAATGTGAACAGCTTGAAATGTATTGATGAAACCAGAGAAAGAGAGAGAGAGAGAGAGAGAGAGAGAGAGAGAGAGAGAGAGAGAGAGAGAGAAAGAGAGAGAGAGAATTAGAGAGAGAGAGAGAGAGCGGGACGGGGAGAGAGAGAGAATTAGAGAAAGAGAGGGAGAGAGAGGGGGGGGGAGAAAGAGAGATAGAAAGAGAGAGATAGAGAGAGGGGGGAGAGAGCCAGAAAGATAGAGAGAGGGAGTTAGAGAGAAAGAGCGAGACAGAGAGAAGGAGCGAGACAAAGAGAGAGAGAGAGAGAGAGAGAGAGAGAGAGAGCTCAACAATGCCCCATCATAACCCTTCCCTCCCCCCCACCCCACCACACCCCCCATCACACCCATCTCCACTCCCTGTGTCTATCCATGCAGCGAGTGCCCTTCAGGCTCGGTGTGTGTGGATGACGGCAAGGACGGAGGCACGTGTTGTCTGGGACAGCCCACCTACGACAGGCCCGGCTCGTGTCCTGTGGTGAGTACACGCCCTAGATTTGTTGTGTGACACCCTAGATCATACACTGTCATGGCCGACCATAGACTTGTGTCCTGTGGTGAGTACACACCCTAGATTTGTTGTGTGACACCCTAGATCATACACTGTCATGGCCGACAATAGACGCGTGTTCTGTGATGAGTACACACCCTAGATTTGTTGTGTGACACCCTAGTTAATGCACTGTCATGGCCAACCACAGACGTGTGTCCTGTGATGAGTACACGCCATAGATGTGTTGTCTATACACCCTAGTTCATACACTGTCATGGCCGACCATAAACACGCTAGATCACAGACACTATCATGACAGGCCTGACCATAGACTTGTGTCCTGTGGTGAATTACTGCCATAGATTTATTGTGTGACACCTAGATCATGCACTGTCATGGCCGACCATTGCACCCTATACCACACACTATCATGGCTGACCATAGACCTGTGTCCTGTGTTGAGTCGTTGCCATAGATTTGTTGTGTGACACCCTAGACCATGCACTGCCATGGCGTAAAGCCCTAGATCACAGACATTGTCATGGCCGATCACAACACCCTAGACATATATTATATGTGTGTATGTGTGTATGTGTGTATATGTGTGTGCGTGTGTGTATGTGTTTGTGTATGCGTGAGTCTGTGTATGTGTGTCTGTGTGTATGTATGTGTGTGTCTGTGTATGTAGTCTGTGTGTGCCTGTGCGCGCGCTTGCGTGTGTGCGTGTGTGCGTGTGTGCGTATGTGTGAGAGTGTGTGTGTATATGCGTGTTATTTTTATCTCACAACAAAAAAGCACAATATAACAACATACCAATCTCCGTACCGTGAGTGGTTGGCGGGTGCTCTGGTGTGGTTTGCTCCTTCTTTCCTATTAAACATCTATCGTCCTCGTCTCTCCTTCTTTTTTTTCTTTTTTTTTGAGTATGTTACTCTCTTGTAACACATCTATTTTTCGGCACTTATATGACCTAATTGTGTTGCGAGTGCCGTAAAACTCTCACTGAAACTAAACTAATCTCCCTGACCTCCAGAATGACCTTGACGCATGCGCGGGGCGGTCATGTGACAGTGACGGGGAATGCCCGGGACAGGAGAAGTGTTGTGACGGTGACTGTGGCAGACGATGCATCAAGCCTGTGCATGTGACCAGCTGTGACAACATCTGCCCAGACGGTCAGTCCTATTGATTTTTTGTTTGTTTGTTTGTTTGGTTGGTTGGTTGATTGGTTGGTTGTTTGGTTGTTTGTTTGTTTGTGTGTTTGTTTGGTAAGGAGAAGCACAGGTCAGTCTTCTTGTTGTTGTTTTTTGTTTGTTTGTTTGTTTGTTTGTGTGTTTGTTTGTTTGAGTAAGGAGAAGCACAGGTCAGCCTCTTTGGAAATTTTTCTGTTGTTTTATTTTTCATCTTATGAGAAACTGGTACGGTTTAAAACACTCAACTTTCATTTTCTGCCTTCTCGCTCATCTTAGGAGAGAGAGAGAGAAGTATGATCTGAACACTCTCACACGTACTTTCTCTGCTTTCTCGCCCATACCAGGTGTAATGAATGTTGTTTGGAAATGCAAAAATGGGAATGAACTATGTTGCAAATATTGAATAAATAACCATTGTTTGATATCACGATTGTTTCCCCTCCGAGACACGTCTTGTTTGGAATTCGAGATCACCTTGTAAAAGAAACGCAATAAACCAGAGATTTTTTTATTTTTTTTGTAAAGTATTTTACGGCACTCGCAACTGCATAAGGTCATATGAGCGCGCGGGACACACCTAAGATTTTCAGTAGGTAGGAAATTTTGAATTTTGCCCGGATGGCGGCCAAAGCCTACTCTTATCGATTTTAGACCACCAAGGGATCTTTAACGTGCGTAACTTGCACACGGGCCCTCCGAGATTTTTCGCCCTTGTCCGAGAAGGCTAGGTGTAGATCTTTCCTACCAGAAGATCAGGGGTGTGGCAGAAAGACAGCAGTAAGGAGGAGCCAAGGAGTAGCAGTAGAAAGGCTGCAGAAAGAATCAGGAGCCCAGAGGAGGGGGCAAAGGAGGTGAGGAGGTAGGGGCAGAAAGTGGAAATGAAAGCAGACAACAAAACATTGCTAGAGAGCAGGAAAGGAGGTGAAAGGGGACAATTTTAGAGAAGAAATTTTTTTGGGTCGCTACCCGGATTCGAACCCGGGACCTTTGAATGAAAGGCCCACACCTTTACCTCTAGGCCACGAGAGCCCCCCATAAACCAGAGAGATGTACTGTTTAAAACACTCACACTTTCATTTCCTGCCTCCTCGCCCATCTTAGGAGAGATATGTATGTATATTATAAGGTCTCAAAACACTCACACTCACTTTCTCTACCTCCTCAACCATCTCAGGAGAGACATGTATGTATGATCTAAACACACTCACGCTGACTTTCTCTACCTCCTCAACCATCTCAGGAGAGACACGTATGTATGATCTAAACACACTCACTCTGACTTTCTCTACCTCCTCAACCATCTCAGGAGAGACATGTATGTATGATCTAAACACACTCACTCTGATTTTCTCTACCTTCCTGCTCGCCATCTTAGGAGAGAGACTTTTGAACTGCTGTCTTCGCGCCCGATCCCGACTTAGGAGAGACATATATAATCTAAACGCACTCACACTTATTTCTCTTTATGGGTGTATGGTCTCAAAACACTCCTACTTACTTTCTCTGCTTTCTCGCCCTTCCTAGGAGAGAGATGTAGGGTTTGAAACATTCAACTTTCATTTTCTGCCTCCTCGCCCATCTTAAGAGAGTGATATACGTGTTAACCCTATCCGTACGTCGTGTTTTACTATCGTATCCATACGACGTGGGGAACTCTGTGCCACCACTTTCAAACAGGAGATTTACTCGTTAATCCGATCCGTACGCTTTGCATAGCAGTCTGCCAAAATAATTTTTTGAGAAATACTGAAAGTTTCAAAGAGATCTTCGTTCTAGATGTATTCTAAAATATGAAGAATACAACCCCGGGGGTACAAAATGACCCCAGGGCGTACGGGTAGGGTTAAAACATTCAATTTTCATTTTCTGCCTCCTCGTCCATCCTAGGAAGGAGAAATATGATCTAAACGCACTCAACTTTCATTTTCGGCCTCCTGGCCCATCTTAGGAGAGAGATGTATCGTGAAACCACCAGACTGTGAGCCCGGCGCGGAATGTGCTCAGCAGGAAGCGGTCCCCACGTGCGTGCCAGTCGCGTGTGCAGTCTGTCAGTCTTACCAGGAATGTCGCTCGCTCCCACGAGATGAACGTTGTTTTTTGTCAGAGGCAATGTGCGATGGAGAAACTATGTGAGTCAGCCATGGAACCATTACAAGATAGATAGATAGATAGATAGATAGATAGATAGATAGATAGATAGATAGATAGATAGATAGATAGATAGATAGATAGATAGATGAGTG